CCCCAAAACCCCAAAACCCCTCATACAAGCAATTATAAGATTAATAGAAAAAAGATTAATTAATTTTATATAATTATTTTTATAGCTCTAAATCAATTGATTATTACTTTCGAATTTATTAAAATAATAATCATGGGAAATCATTAATCATTGTTTTGCTCTAATTGCAACAAGAGCATTAAGCGTCTTTAAAGAGGCACTATATGTGTTATATGCAGTAGACATCACTGCACTAATTGCTCTAACAGGGAAAAAATTTAGATAGATGAGAACAACGTTACATCCAAGAAAAGAATATGCCACACATGCTCAATCAGCATAGACAATAATGAATCAATAAAAATTGAATACCTCAAGAACAAGCAATAAAATAAGGGAAATAAACCAGCTAAGTCACAGTATTCCAAAAGGTAAATTTCTACTCCAGATGAGTAAACTTCCAAATCTAAAAATGTGCACAAGTCGATGATCATTCAGTCGAATGACTACAAGAGAAGACATGAGTCAGAAAGTCTTGATCCCCGTATTAGTGAGCCTCTTAAATACGAATAGACACTTTCTGTTAAGTTCAACTACGAGCTGAATTTGTTTGAAGGGTTACCCAAAGTTTGGAGAGAACTTCTAGAAATACCTCCACAGTCCTAGGAAGTTGAACAGATTGATGAAAGTTTATAAATCAAGACAAGCAGGCTGAGATAAAATATCAATAATTTTGTCATCTATGAGGTACAGCCCCGGGGCGAAGTTCAAGGTTCCTTTATCATAACAGCTAATATCAGAAAGAAGGGTGGTGCTGACAATAGCTTTATAAATGGAGATAATAAGAGATAGCAACTTACATAAGAGATTCATCACTACTCAACCTAGGATCAGACTTAATTTGACAACGAGGAAAGAAAATACTATGAAGTGGAAATAGATGGAAATAATGGATTTAAGGGGTTACCTGAAGATCTGGAATAGTAACTGAAAAAATCCAATTTTAATGCATAATAATTCCTGCAAAATCCTGGATCAGTACTCGAAGTCTTGAATTTCAACTCTAAGGGAGGTTTCAATCAGAAGGAGGAACCCCTACCTTTGCCAGGCAATATTGATTATACATCCATACTTGAAAGTTCAAATCTATTCAAGCAAGATAACCCTGCAATCTATTATGATATAGTTAAATAAATTGGATCTGGTGGATATGGTAAAATCTATCTTGTTTAAAAAAAGGAGGATCAATCACAATATGCATTGAAGTTCATTTCCTAAACTAACTAAAATTAAACACAAATAGATGCAATTAAGAATGAGATTGCCCTTATGTCTATCTGCAAAAATAGTAATATCGTAATGTACTACGATGGGTACTATTTCAAGCAGAAATTCTGGTTATTTATGGAATATATGGATGCTGGATGCCTGACTGACATACTTGAAGCTGGTTTCTATCAAGTATTTAATGAATCCGTTGTGTAATACTTAGTATTTGAAACTCTTAAAGCAATTAAGTATCTCCATTCAAGACATATAATTCACAGAGACATTAAGTCTGATAATATTTTATTGGGCTCCAATGGAGACATTAAGCTTGGTGATTTTGGGTATGCAGCGTAGTTAACCAGAGAGAGAAGAAGAAGAGATTCTAAAGTAGGGACTGTTTGCTGGATGGCACCTGAGATCATTAGAGGAGCGGAGATGTACACTGAGAAAGTTGATATATGGAGCTTAGGCATTATGATGCTTGAATTCGTTTATGGAGAACCACCTTATCTTAATTAACCTCAGACTCAGGTTTGCTATATGATTTTGACAATGAACCCACCAGAAATAGACCCACTCAAATGGTCTCATAGCATGAGGGACTTCGTTAAAGTGTGTCTCACAAAAGACCCAAGACAAAGACCTACAGTTGAGGAATTGATGAATCATCCCTTCATAGCCAAGATGGATTATATGAAATGCAAGGAAAGCTATCTAGAAATTTTGAAGAAATATTTGGAATAGACAAACAATCTAGAAAGCATATTTTCAGTTTCGCTGAGCAATAAATCCTGAAGAACTAGAGATGTATTTTTACTGCATTGGTATAATTTGTCATCATCGATATCAAATTATTATTAAGTTTGAAGTAACATTCTATTTATAATAATCTCAATATGTCTAAGTTAATTTTATGGGAATTAAAAGAAGAATTTCATATTTAGATTTTAATGATTGAGAATAATTAATTTTATGATATTTTACCTGCTTGGGGTTTTGGGGTTTTGGGGGGTTTTGGGG